TTTCCATGTTTTGAGTTTGATTTCTGTTTGCATGTTTGTCCGTATGTGATGATTGCCATGCCCTGAAAGTACTCTATTCCTGTGCAGTGTTTTCTCTGTCCCTCGAAATGTAGAATAGAAATAGTAGAACTGCTTCCAGCAGGCCCTAACGTCTTCACCCGAATAGAACGCCCGGTCATTATCGCTGTATCTAGTCTGGAAGTTGCACCAAATACAGCTACAATAACCGGGCATTCTATTTGGGTAGAGGCAGTAGTACCCTGCCTACCGTCTTCACCCCAATAGAACGCCTGGTCATTATCGCTGTATCTAGTCTGGAAGTTGCACCAAGTACAGCTACAATGACCAGGCATTCTAGTCGGGTGAAGACTGTAGTACTGGTAGAGGCAGTAGTACCCTGCCACGGAACGGTCAGGCCCTGAGTTGGATTGCAGACTGTAATGATGTTCCCACCAAAAACCAGGAACTTCCAGAAGGCGCTACCGTCTTCACCCGAATAGAACGCCCGGTCATTATCGCTGTATCTAGTCTGGAAGTTGTACCAAACACAGCTACGATGACCGGGCGTTCTATTCGGGTGAAGACGGTAGTGCACTGGTAGAGGCCGTAGTACCCTGCCAGGGAAGGGCTGGAGACTGGTAGTAGTCAAGCGTATATCACTTGGTGCAATGAGTAGGCTGGCACATTTGCCTGGCAGTCATGCTGCTGCTCTGCTGTTACATACTGGATTCCACACGGGCGCTGTTAGGCCCGACGGCTAGGTCTAGGGGGTTATCCCAGACCGTGGCCATGCTGGGCCAGTCCGGCCTGGGTTTTAGACCCGGGCGTGCTGAGTGGGAAACCGGCCCAAACATTTTTTGTTTGAGCCTGGCGGCCGAGGATTGAGGCTGCCACTTCCCGCGGGTCTGATCTGAACTGCTGGAACGGTCCATATCACGGCGCGGCTTCACCAGCAGCCAGGCCGAACAGGCCACCGCCGGTACTTAGGACCGGCCAGCGGTCTGTTCGGGACAGACTCGGAGGCGCGGCATTGAGGAAGCAGTGCTGCGCTATTTTGGTTAGCGCAGCTCCAGGCAGCAGCGCTGGGTTTAGCGCTAGCTGTAGAGGCGAGAGAAAGAGAGTAGCGACTTACCTGGCACTTACCTGTGAGCGCCATAGCTCCAGCAGCAAGGGCGAGTCTTCAGCAGCTCCAAGGCGGCACCTTGCACCTGCAGGTTGGTCCCTGGACACTGGATCAAGGCACGAGGATCTTCCTCCGCCCCACCTCTCAATCTCCACCTTCTCCTCTGCCCCTCTCGGTTCTTCTTCTTCTTCTTTTTCTTCTTCTTCTTCTTGTTCTTCTTCTTGTTCTTCTTCTTGTTCTTGTTCTTGTTCTTCTTCTTCTTCTTCTTCTTCTTCTTCTTCTTCTTCTTCTTCTTCTTCTTCTTCTTCTCCTAACCTTCCACCTTCTAGGTTACCAAAGGACAGAGATCGATGGTGAGATATCTGTGACATCAAGACTGAGACTATTTCAAAGTAGGATGTTGGGAGGACTGTTTGGAGATCTGTAACCAACGGCATTTCGAGATTCTGTAACTTCGACATTCCGAGAATTCTGTATCTCCGACATTTCGGATTACTATTTCGGTGACTTTGTGTTGGCGCCATCTCCTCCTCCTCCCTTCGTCTCTTCCCCTTGTTTGTGTACAGGCCCTGGCACATCTTCTATGTTTGAGCGCCAGGCCTTCTCACCCAATGAATGTATGTGTGTGAGCCTGCGTATAGTCCAAGTCAGATGTGAGACAGATCCATGTTTTCAAGTCTTCCGCTCCATTATATTGCTCTTTGTAATGCTCAGCTCTAGGTTCTGCATCATACTTGTGCTCACTTTCACTAGTATGCAACAGTTTGGTATCGGAGCAGACCAGATTGGATCTGCTCACAGATAGACCGATCGATTAGTCAATCGATCGATTGATTGGCACTTCGGGAATTCCGATTGGTTGATTGATTGATTGATTGGTTGATGTAGTTCTGACTGGTAAGAAGCGAGATAATTGATAGATCAGTTAATGAAAGTTGATTGTTTGGTCGATTAAAATTGTTTCCTTGTCAGATCTGCAGTTGTCATCCATTTTCAAGTTGCAAATTCTTTTTCTTCTTTTCTGCAATTCGGTAAGAGCTAAACATCGCATTCTTGCAATCTGGAAATTCGTGTTAATTTAGGGTGGACACCGGAAATTTTGCGGAATTCGCGGAATTTTAGGTCAGAAAACCCAAAAATTTCGCGATTTGTTTTTCTTTCTTTCAGTTTGCATTTATTGGTAGCCCGCATACCTTCGTGAATTCCGATGCTGGAAGGTCCGAACAGTTGCAGACTGCAACTTCCCGGAAGTTTCACCTGCAATCAAGTTCAAAGTAGCATCTTGCTTAGAGGTTGCAGGCAGCGGAACTTTCTGACCACTATTGGATCTCGGATTGACATCTAATTCCCAACATATTCATTTGCAAGGAAGATGAGCAATAGCAAACTTCAGAAATCAAACAGCGTCATACACATGAGACCAGATAGTTGTGACCTCGAACCAATAGCAGAATTGCATCACGAGTTTCACCAAATAAGAGCACACCAAAAGCTCATAATTGATAATGCTGGAATAGTCTCATCATCATCAACGAAGAACCAATGTTGATGGGACTGATGCGACCGGACTGTTGCTGAGGAACCGGACTGACGCGACCGTGCTGTCAGGACTGATGCTGGGCTGGAGCGCTCGCGCCGGACGGTTAGCGCAAACAAGTGCTAATTCTTTCGCGCCATCGCCCGCAGCTCTGCTGCGTGCGGGACTGCATCTTCGAAAATTCAAACCCATCCCCTTCGTCGCGCCAAGCCCTCCCCCTCACCGGGGAGCATCGTTCATGCCATAGCCAGATAGGGGAACCAAGCGCGCGCGCGCCCGGAGGCCCCCTTATCGCGAAGAAAGGTTCCTTCTAAACTCGCTCCGGAACGCTGTCCGACGACCTTCATCGACGAACAAGGCCAGAATCCATCTTCAGGAAGCTCCAATTCTCTCAAGACTTCGAATTCATTCGTCGCATCGTTATCCCAAGCGCGGCCCGGGAAGCGACGAGAAGCGTCAGTACACACACAAAATTGAATCCTGTGAGATCGACCTCAACGCCCCCATTGCTCTCCAAGCTCGCTCTAACCTATCGTCTTGCCTTCCAATGGATTGACCCCCCTATCACACCGCGCCTGCGATACGCCTCGTCACCTCGCCTCCCCTCCCAACCCCCAAGCCTCGATCAACCCGCACCATCCTTCTTCCCCCTAGTTGCACACCCGCTCTGCTTTCGCTAATACCCCCCTCCTCTGCCCCCTCCCCACTTCAATCTCCCCCTCAATCCTACACACTACTTCCGCAGCTCGCAACCCAACTATCAACTGAATCTTCGTTCTCCCCCAACTTCCCCCCAGACTCATCCCTCCCCTCCTCATATCACACCCACTTCACATCCAACTGATCCCCCCCACCTTCTCCACCGTCGATCCCCATAGCGGCCCCAATCTGATCCTAACCCTCTCCCTCTACGACCTCAGCCTAACCCCACCCTGTCTTCCTCCCTCAACACATAGTTCTCTGCAAATAGTCGCGATTTCATTCATCTCAATTTCTCTCCTTTCCCAGTGTGCCCTATTACGTTTACATTTCAACCCAACCATCCCCTCCATTTATGTTTTCAAAGTTTCCTCCTTCCTCAAATCTGAGTGGTCATTGCTGTCCCAGTAACTACCAGTTGCTCAAGGGGAGAGGGTAAACGAAAGCCCGGTGTCTCTGGCCCGTAACATAACGTACTATCCTGCCTTTTCAGAAAACCGATCCCCAAGTGGGGAGGGTAAATGCTGCCCAAATTCTTCAAACACTCACGCAGCAATTGTTAAGTCCCGCTATCCCCCCCCTCCATCTCGACTGGGTTGTTCTCCCACACAGGAATTGATTACAGAAGTATCATCCCACCCTTCTCTTTCTCATGCGTATTACCCCCCGTCCCTGCTTGGTATCACATCTTAAGCGCGGCGAGTAACCCGATCCCCCAAGGGGGGAAGGCAAACGCTGTTCAACTTTTYTCCTCCTTACCAAGTAGCCCTCCTTGCKGCATACATTCCTCCCATCGCTCTCCCTTGTTGATTCTCAAGGGAAGAAGGTAATCGCCACCCCATATTTCATTGATTCTGGTTCGTACCTCAACTTTTCAATCCTTTTGTTGTAAAATCCGTTCCCCAAGTGGGGAGGGTAAATGCTGCCTAAAATATTCAAGAAGTCACGCAGCAATAGTTAAATCCTTCCAATCTAATCACTCCCACCCCCCTCACTCCCACTCCTCTCTCTCCTCGATCTCATCCCGAATGCCAACAGATCTCACCCCATCCCTTCTCTACCCCATCCAGATCCCAACCTGATCTTACCTCGAGTATATCCCAACCCCATCCCGTTCTCAGTCCGACCCGATCCAATCCCGATCACACCCCGATCCCAACCCATCTTTGAAGCACAGCCACCTCACCCCCACTCCTCTCTCTCCCCATTCTTATCCCGAACGCAAACTGAACTCACCCCATCCTTTCTCTACCCCATCCCGATCCCAATCGATCTTATCTCCAATATATCCCAACCCCACTCCGACCTCAATTCGATCCGATCCAACCCCGATCCCACCCTGATCCCAACCCGAACCCACCGACCTGGATCGGCTCTCAATATCAGACTCCAACCAGCCCCCACCCCTCCTACCCCCACATCCAATCACGAGACTCACCCTATACTGATCACCCAAATCCGATTTCCACCCCGCTGCTTACCCGATACCGATCCCCCGATACCGATCTTCTACTGTCGGCAGATTCACACCCCGATACTTGCCTGATACTGAATACATGATCCCGACTCAGTCTTAAACACAACCTCTTGAAAGTGATTGTACTGGCCGGCGGACGATCTTGTAGGGCCCTCAGACTTCGACACGGCTTCAAAAGGCGATCCCCAAGGGGGGAGGCCAAGTGCTACTAAAATTCCCTCAGATTTACTAAACTACTAACTCCCAAGGAGCGTCCAATCCTCTTAACTCAGTCCCAAGGAGACACATTCCAAAGATGGCGATATCGTACTCTATGGCAGCCCAAAAGGCAATGAGCGAGAGAGAAAAGCAGGACTTTGCTCTAAGGCAGGGAGGAACGACAATGAGCAAATCAGGGCAGAAGGCATCTCAGTCAGGCACGGTGTCAAGAGCTGGTGAAGCGAAGTCGCGATCTTTGGGGCAAAAGGCGATGGATTTCCTGCTGGAGAAAACGCAAATCAAAGCAGAGATCAAGATTACGAAGGAGGTAATCAAGGGAGAAGGGGGGAAGGAGGAGGAAGTGGAAGTTTGGGAATACCCAGAAGAGGACATTCAGTCGCTGAATGATCTGTACGAGAAGCACGCGGTCCTTTTTAACTTCTCGGGGAGAAGCAAAGAGCTTTCATTGAACGAGAAGAGAAGGTGGGTGATGGATAGATTGATAGCCATGGAGGACGTACCAAGAAAGGAACCAGAGGTTTCGTACCACAGGAGGGGAAGGTTCGCAGTGATGATTGTCTGTGTAGATCCTACCTATGCCCAGTACCTGCTGTCGATAGGTTCATTGAAATGCAAGGGAGCTGTAGTCACAATCCAACCTTGGAAGCCGCCAAGACCACCTCAGGCTGAGGCATCAAGGCACAGGCAATCAATGCCGAGGAATCATTTCTGGGTACAGTTCGACAACCTATCGGAAGGAATGCATAGCTTTGTTCAAAGGAGACTGGAGGAGGAATTCCCAAGCAACCCGATCATAGAATGGTTGCCGGCCAATCCGGATTTCCTGGCACCTAACCATGATGCAAGGGTGGCATGTTTGGAGGTCAAGTCAGGGGCACCGCCAAAGCTCCCAGACCAATGGAWCTTCAAGAAAAGTGGTMAGAGAATCACAGTCTTCRTCTCCACCAAGACTAACCCATTTTGCTTCAAATGCAGGGGTAGAGGTCACCTAGGTACCTCTTGTCCACAAGGGGGACCAGGAGGAGCAGGGGGAAAACGGGTGACATTGAGGCAATCTATGCTGCAGGAGTGCGAGAGCAARCCARGTGTYTGGTATATTAATTCATCTCAATACAGGGGATGGATTTTTKACGACAACYTGGAAAATCCAAGATGGGTGTGGGTCTTGAAAAGGGAACCAACGGTCAAACCAGACATTTATCCGCCCTATGATAGTAGGTGGAGACACACCGGAGCCAAGAGAATGGAGGACAAGGAAACGGGGTACATCATCAAACCCATTTTGGACGACGCGGTCATGCAGGATGTCGAGCAAAGACTGAAGCTGATGGGGGAATTGCACGAGGTTGGGAAAAATGCGGAATTGGCTTTTTTAGAAAATGCAGAAGTCAGAGCATAGCAGCAGGGGCAGGCTACTACAGGAGAGAAAGAGAAGGAGGGCGGAACCAGCAAGGAATCTTCAGGGAGTTCGGGGAAGGAGAGTGAGACAGACACAGGCTCACAAGGAGCGGTATCAAAGGGAAGTAGGGCAAGGGATGAAGAGACAGGCAAGATAGCAGAGAGTGATGCGGTCATGATGGGGTCATCACAACATGAAGAAGGCGGAAGCGGATCCCAGGGGTCCTAGGGACAGGAAACACTGGAAGATGAAGATAGAGTAAGAGAAAGGGCGAGAAGGAGAGGCATGCTCAATGTCGAAAACATGACAGTGGAACAGATCGTGCAGGCGGAGGAGGACCAGAGGGAGAGCTCAGGAGACACAGAGAGCGAAGCCTCATCAGAGGAAGAGGAAGAAGAGGAGGAGGAACAGCAGGACGAGTTGGATGAGAAAGACTGGTCAAGAGAGCAGTGGATAAAGGAGGTAGAACAGCTGGAATGGGGGAGAACGATTGAGTGCGAAATTAGACTGGCCTACCATAAACACCTGAGGAACCTCCAATAAGTCACACAAGCAAGGGAGGACATCACTTTAGAAAACAGGTTTGAACTGCTAAGGAGGGAAGGAGAAATCAATGAGTTTTACGCTTCTCAGTACGGAAGTAAGACCTGCACAGTGAAGAATGAGATCCACGAACAGCAGGAGGAATATGGGAGGACATTCCAATGGCCAAAGACCTACCACAACAAGGAAAGGAAGAGGGATGGTAAGAAACGGAAAGTACAAACGGTGGAGGAGCAAAGCAGTGCAGTTGGTTCGGGGAATGACTCAATGGAGGATACAGCAATGGATGAGGATCGGGTGAAAGGAGAGAGTGAAGAGGAAGAGGTCCAAGACTTGAGGAGGCAAGCAACGATTTTGGTGGCACAGGTAATCCTACTCAAGGATGAAAACAGGGAATTGGAAGAGGACACAGTGAACGTACAGAAAATAGCGAAAGGTCAATGAAAGGAGATAGAAGCCGCAACTCGTCTGGAAGTCAAGAATGGGACAAGGAGGAGAGTGGTCTTGCCCTGTCGTTGGAATGCAAAGCACTCAGACTGGGAGGTCGCAATTAACCAGTCCTTGCAGCTGTTAACAACCCCGATTGAAGAGTGCTCAGGCTCGAATCTGCAGAGATTAATAGGGGCGGAGGTGCCAGCTCGAGCTTTTATATTGAGAGACGGAGGAGAGGAGCCGATGACGTTAGGGGAAGAAGGAGAGGATGAGACGACAACTGACTTCGGACCACTGCTATTCCAAATGGGGGCAGAGTCCGAACTAAGGGAGGGATTGATCTGGATACCTTGGCAGGTGGTGGCAACCATTCCCTATGGGCTACTGGGAGGAGAAGTAGGGGTGGAATGGGTGGCTAGATGCGCAACGGTGGCAGTGAAGATGAAGGCATTGGGTTGGAAGTCGAACTTCTTCGAGAGGAGGGTAAGTGAGGTAGCAATGACCATAGAACTCACTGCACAAGATACTTGAACAAGGAAAGATGGAAGGAAAGGCCACATTCTAACAAGGGGACCTAATGGAGGGAGGAGTGGAAGAGAGACCAAGAAAGCAGAGAAGAAGGATTAAAGGGGGAACAGGTCCACCGGAGATCAAAATAGCTTCATGGAATGTGAACGGGATGGTGGGGATTTTGGAGAATGGAGACAAGTGGCATAATGTAGTGAATTACTCAGGATGGTACACTTTGTCTCCACCGGATTTCTTGTGCTTGCAGGAAACACATCTTTAGGAATCGGAAGAACACCAAAAAATGAAGCACAAGATTGAGAGGAAACTACAAGGAGTTAAGGCAGCATGGTGGGCCCCGGCGACAAGTAACCATTCCACGGGGGTGGTTATACTACAAAGCAAAAGGGCTACGGCGACAGACAGGATTCGCATCACAGAAGCAAGGGTGGACGAGGAGGAGGGTAGATGGGTCAAGGTAGACTTTGAGCTGCATGAGGAACCCTACACGCTACTCTCGGTTTACTGTCCGAATAACTCTCAACAACGAGAGGATTTGGTCGAAAGGCTTAAGGAGATCCTAGATGGGAACAGACATCTGATTCTAGTAGGAGACTGGAACGCTACCTTAGATCTCAGCTTGGACAGATTATCGGGAGGGTTAGATCAGAGGAGGAACGGTAGACAGAAGAATCGTTACCGATTCATAGGCTAATGACGAATTTAGAACTGATAGATCTCTATAGGTTGTATTACCCGGACGAAAGACAATTCACCTATCTCAAGAGGAACCGCAACCAACATGTGTCAGCCTCCCGGATAGACTATTTCTTGACGTCGTCAGGAGTAATAGGCATGTTGCAATCAGTGAGTATAGGTATCCTGTCGTATGGTATGGGTCTGGATCACAAACCTATCCATCTGAGTTTGTCACCAGATAAACAAGTCATCAGAGGTAGGGGGTTCTACAAAATCAACAACTCCCTCTTGAAAACTCATGAAATGAGACAGGCGGTTTTGCAAGTGTGTCAGGAACACAACCCAGACACACATACATTCCCTGAACTGTTATTGACACTTTTTAAGGCTTCAAGAATGGTGGCTAGGAGGCTGGCAGCAAAGAGGAGGGAAAGAGAAGAAGAGTTGGAGCGAGCAATAGAGATAACGCAGCGTAATACTATTAATCGGCCAGGAGACGAATTATACGAAAGAGTACTGGAGACGACAAGAGGAGAGATGGCAGACTGGCAACGGTGGAGAATGAAAGGCCTACAAATGAGGGCTAGAGTCAGGGAACGGGAGGAGGGGGAGAGAATGACCAAATTCTTCTTCCAAAAAATAAAGTCCAAAGGAAGGAATAACCTCATAGAGCAATTAGAAGGGGAAGGGTGGCTTACCTTAGATAAGGAAGGGATGTTAAGGGTGGCTTTCGATTTCTATAGTAGACTATACACATCTACGGAAGACCAGCTCCCGAGGCTAATGGTGGAGGAAGCGAGATCGAAGTTTCTGAACTACCTACAAAACACAATATCACGACAGCACGCGGCCATGCTGGATGAACCCTTAACACAGGAGGAGTTATGGGATGCACTAAAAACGATGACCCCGAACAAAACCCCGGGGAAGGATGGTTTGACCAAAGAATTCTGGCTAGAATTCTGGCCAATTTTGGGCGAAGAATACCTGGCCTTTCTAGAGCACGCTTGGCAGGCGGTGGGCATAGGTAGTGAGCCCGCAACTGGAATAGTCACACTGCTTTACAAGAAGGGGAGTCCAGTGGACATACGAAATTACAGGCCAATAACTTTGTTGACCCTCACACACAAGATAGTAGCCAAGGCGCTAGCCAACTGCTTATCAAAGATCACGGCAGGCTGCTTCCATTTGGATCAAACAAGATTCATTCCGGGAAGGTTTATACTAGACAATATCATGTGCCTAACAAAATCTGTCCGGTATATAAGAGACAAGAGAATCAATGCCGCCATTCTTTTTTTCGATTTCGAAAAGGCATATGACCAGGTCAGTTGGCCCTTCTTGCAGCTGTGCATGGAAAGAATGGGGGTAGGGCCAAACTTTAGGAAATGGATAAGGGTCTTATACAACGATGCGCGGGGACAAGTGCAGGTTAATGGTCACTTATCTTCGACCTACCCGATGTCAAGATCAGTTAGGCAGGGGGATCCCTTAGCAGCTCCTATCTTTCTCTTCATAATGGAGGCAATAGCCTCTTTTCTAAGAAAAGACCCGTCAATAGAGAGATTAATAGCACCGCCAGACTAGCGAGGACACACGGTCGAACTCCCCACGACGATTTTGTTCGCGGACGACTTGACGGTTTTGATCAGAGCAACAGACTCTTCTTTTCAAGCGCTAACAAGGGCAATGGAAGCTTTCCAGCTGGCTTTCATAGATGAAAGTCAATTGGCACAAAACAGTGGGGTGGTGGCTAGCAGAACTGGATCAAGAAAATCAGATTCCGGTCACAAGCCCGGAGGGGCTTCAATGGATGACGCCACAACATGCGTTCCGGTATCTACAGTCTTCCACCAAATACAACGTACGGTCATTATAGCTGAATTTAGACTGAAAGATAGACCAAATTCGGCTATAATGACCGTGCGTTGTATTCGGGGGAAGACTGTAGGGATCAAAATAACAGAAGAGGGGGCACACAAATCAATGGCGGCAGATATTATGGCCAAGGTGTTAGCAAAGTTTAGTGCTTGGTCGGCAGTATACACCTCAATATATGGAAGAGCACTGATTTTGAATGCATCAATTTTCTCCATGATGTGGTATGCAGGGTCTATCTGGACCCCGCCCAAGGCCACGTCGGCGGTGCTTAGGAGAAAGGCCGCAGCTTTCTTGTGGACGGCGAAGCACAACACGGAACATTTCATAGCCAAGGTAGCATGGAAAACGGTAACTAGACCCAAGGGGCAAGGGGGCTTGGGTATTCTTGACCCAAGTCAGCAGTTGAAAGCGCTTCAAACAAAATGGGTGGTTAAGCTAATCTCACAGCCTAAGCTGTCATGGACGTCACCAGTATTAGAAAGGATTAGACAAATAGCCAGGTACAAAACACCGAACAACATGACGGGGCTGTTCTGGATTATGTGTAGCAACTGGGCTAAAATGGGCCACAGGGAGGAGAATAGGGAAATACAAGGAGGGAGAGTTAGAAATCCGGCTTATTGGCTACAACTAATACAACTGTGGAAGGAGGTCTTCCCAGCGAGGGTAAGAGAGCCTACTACAAGAGAGGAGGTATTAAGACAACCGTTATTCTGCAACGCAAACGTTAAGGACAATGGCGGAAAGCCTCTAACATTAACAAGCAAGGATTTGAGATGGGGCAGATGGTTGGAGCACGGGGTATGGCAGATCAAACACATTTGGGATGAGGAGAACAACAGATGGAAAACAACAGAGGAGCTGAGAAGGACATTGAAGGGGTGTCATAAGCTTCAGGACAACCTGAGTGTAGTCACAGGCTCCATACATCCAACCTGGGTGCAGTTGTTGAGGGGGGGAAAACAATGGCGGGAGGGAGATTGGGCCACATGGGAAGACGGGAGCCTAGAGAGGTGTTCAGGGTGTAGGATACGGTCAAAGACAGGAACGAATGGCTAGTAGCAGACAAATACAACATAATACAGCCGCGCAATACCACGTCCCAATTGGATAGGACATCAAAAGCGCCGCTGTATATTCTCAAACAAGGGTTGCGGAAGGTAAGAGTGATAGAGATGGAGGAGTTTACAGTGTACAATTCAGCGGTACCAATTGAGGAGCTAGAGGTGGATCCTGGTGAATGGGCCTGGAACATTAGGGGGGGACAATCAAGAGTAGCAAGGAGAATCAATATCCTCCACTACACCACAAGAATAGGTTACAGGTTGAGGAACAGATCCCTGTCTATGGGACCTACTGTGCTCAAATGCTGGGAGAAAAGGGTGGGGGTCCCCAGAAGCCAAATCGCAGACATACCATGGGCAAATATACTATCAATAAGACTGGGACAAGTGAGGAGTATGCAATGGCTAATAGCGCATGTGGCGTTGCCAGTGAACGTTTGTCTCAACGAAAGAAGAAGTCACAACCAGAGGAGCGATGAAGCTGACTTGTGCAGAGTGTGTCAAGAAGGACTTCCGGAAACATTGGTGCACTGTCTACTGGAGTGCAAGGAGGCGGAGGGAATTTGGAAACAGGTGGCGAACATTGCTTTTCCGGAGTCAAGAATTGCTAGGCTATTGGGGGCTGAGGTACCCAAACGGATGCAACCCTATCAATGGCATATCTTTCAGCTACTGAGGCAATATGGGTTGTGGATCATTTGGAAGAGAAGATGTCAGGCCACTATGGAAGGAACGCTAATGCATAGAGAGGAAGTCAGGGAGTTGATCCTCAAGGCAGTGGAAACACATCTCAATGCGCAGTGGAAAAGGGTGAGACAGCAGGCACAGCAACAACCAGGGCAAGAGGAGGAGATAATTAAAAGATTCAAACAGAACACGTTGGGTCAGGGGGCATTAGCAGAGGTCAGAGGCTCACAACTACGCTTTAAATGGAGAGAAGAGGGTGGACAAAATCAGGGGTCAGGAGGGAAGGAAAATCTCGATAAGCCAGTAAAAAAAGGAAGGTGGCACCCAAGATCATCTGAAAGGAAGGAGGCTGGGGGACTGTAGAGGGCCAGCCCAACTCAAGAGAGAAGGTACSGGYGCAGTCAAGATATATGCTACAGGCTGAATTCCGGGTAGAAGACAGAGATGAAGGCAGACGAGGCCCAAGGTTGAGGATAAGCAAGAGAAAGTCAGGAAGAAGCTTTAATGGACAGGGGTCGGAGAATGGCAAAACAGCAGGATAGAATGGCACAACTCAGAAACAGGAGGGAGAGCCCAGAACACATCCAAAGCGGATAGGAGATTGAGCTGAAG